AGCTCCTGCTGCACCCTCCTGCCCCAACTTCACTTCGCATTTCGAGTATATCCCATGACTAAACTTGAAATACAAGAAAGGGGCCACATTCTGAGAAGAAAATACACTGTTTGATAATCCAACTTTAATACTTTATTCTCGGCCGGGCGCGGTGGCTCAAGCCTGTAATCCCAACACTTTGGGAGGCCGAGGCGGGTGGATCACGAGGTCAAGAGATCGAGACCATCCTGGTCAACATGGTGAAACCCCGTCTCTACTAAAACTACAAAAAATTAGCTGGGCATGGTGGCGCGTGCCTGTAGTCCCAGCTACTCAGGAGGCTGAGGCAGGAGAATTGCTTGAACCCAGGAGGCGGAGGTTGCGGTGAGCCGAGATCGCGCCATTGCACTCCAGCCTGGGTAACCAGAGCGAAACTCCGTCTCAAAAAAAAAAAAAAAAAAAAACCTTTATTCTCCAAGCAAGTCTTAAATCTAATGCAACTAAGCATAGAAAAACAAGAATGGGCAGAGCCCTAGTAAGCGCTGCAAATTGCTTGAAACAAAATAGTTATGGTGCTAACAGATTGTTACATAGTTTGGTAATCAGGGCTCAGGGATTATTCTGACCAGTCAAGCACTCTGGAGTTAGCTTTTAGAAAACAGAGTCTCCAAAATATAAAATTGATAGGCAGCAAAATAAATTTTGTGCAAGTTTCATCACCAGAAAATTGTAAGCCTGGAAAGCAGAGTTCCAGCTTTAAGTTAAAACCATTAGGGCAAGGAGTTTCAATCCCTGCAATAGGACAGTTTGACCTAAATACTAAGCATGCCAGGAAAATTTGGACATGAACTGCAAGGCAACAACATCCTCTACCAGGGCATTCTTGGAAATCTTCCTCTCAGATGAAGAACAATCCTCTGATGAGAATAAATATATAAATTTTAAAAAATAATTGGACAGCTGAGTAGGGAACTCATTTCTATAATAAATAAATGAGACTACCTAAGACTGTCTTTCAGCATCCCTGGTTCTATCATTTACCTTTCGATGAGTGGCCAACAGAAGGCAATGTATTTTAATGGGTTGCTGTCTTTGAGATTTATTTTCTTTTGCCTTATTTATTAAAGAAGTGGCGTATAAGTGCATACACATGCTATATTGTTTCTTTACTGCTATATTTTTGATATTGAAAGAGTTAAAACTTATGTGTGAATGCCATTAATTACAGGATACTGTGAAGTTACAGCTGTCTGGCTCCTATCCCCATCGTAAATTTTATCCCATCGATATAATTGACATTCAAAAAGGTGGCAAATAAGAAGTTTGGCTAAATCACATTCAGAGAGAAACTCTGTTATGAATTGTTGAAGAGTGTGTGATTCTTCAATCTTTGCATAAAGTATACAACAAAAGAGAGGAGTGGACAAGAATCCAAAATAAGATGTGTCATGTCGTGTAATTAGAATCATCATGCCACAATCATGACAATTCTGAAATGTTGTGCTTTATATGAAACATTTAGGTATATTTTTCATGCAATTCCACTACTCACCGTTAAATTAAGCTGACTTTAGGAAGATAATCTCTGTCTGTAGCATTCTGTACCCCTAGCATGTGGTTGGATATCCTTGTTTGAGTCTTTGGTAGTGAAATTACCAGACTTTCAATTCAAATAGCGTAATTGCAAAGGTTTTATTTGGGAAAACAGTAGTCTTGAGAAAGTTTCTTTCCCACTCTAATTTTCAGTTTTGACATCTCTTAATTTGCAGAAAATATCTCATCCATATGATTGTTAAAATAATGAAATGAGGTGTTATATGCACAACACATAGTAATGTACAGTGCTTAGAACATAAATGACACTTGGTGATTGGTACTGTTAATTCCATTCATAGTTATTGGCTCCCTTAGGGTATGATCTCCAATATGTAGGCATCCATTTTCATTAAGGACCACTCTCAGATAATATGCTTCTGAACACAACCACAAGGCTGTCCTAGGCAGCTTCCAAAATGCTTGATCCACTGACTATATTCATTGTAATCTGACACCCATTATGTAAGACCTTTATATGAATACTGATCCTATTGGGTTATATTATAAAACTTTTGACATATTGAAGCAGTATAGTAAGGCAATCTACTTTGTAGAAGGCAGTAAGCTTTCCTCTGGAAAAATAGACTGTTTCCCATGTTAAGTCATCTGAAAAATAGTCAGAGTCTTGAAATGGAAAGAAAAATTCTGAAAATAGGACTTCTGTAGACAAGATGCATACTGTAGTGTCTCAATTTAGGGTTTTTGGTTTTGGATTTGAAGAGTGAAAATAGGCTTGAGGACACTCTTTGAGGATAGAGCCAGACGATTCTCTCATATGAATACTGGCCGTGAGTAGGCACAATGTCTTTTAACTAGACTTTCCTCAGTTGACTTGCATGTTACTTCTAAATCTAGCTTTCTTTAATAAATCATCAGTTAAATTTTCCATGCATGCTTAGATGTGAAGGAGTAGAAGGTCTCATTCTTGAACTGCATGGGAGCTATGACACTGAATCCATCCAGGTGATGGCAAAGGTGCTCAGAAGATCCCTAGAAAAAGAAAATATGTTTATCAAGCAACACTCCCTTGGTGGCTACTGTTCATTTAATGATATTAATAGAGTCAGCACGTTTTCTTAAAAAGCTGATCTGTAACTCAGTCTCCTACCTTTCAGAGTGACTTAGTCAACCCTATGGCTTTCTTGCTAAAGCATGTATCTGCAAAAGTTACTCAGCTCCTATTTTGAGCTTTATAAAAACTTTCCTAACTCTTAAATATGGTCCATGTGACTCAGAATCATAAAGTGGGAAAAACATAATTAGCACTTTTCAGCTTCAAAGAAGATTACAAACACTGGCTAATTAAACTTCCCAACACCTCTCTGGCACCAATGTAGTTATTTCCCCTTTCTGGACAGGTTAAGGTACCTATTCAAGGAAGGAGAATACAGCTGCTCCTCTCCTGCCGGGCAGCAATAAAATCTTTCTCCACTCAGCAGGGTCTGGACACAAAGTTAAGTTTAATCAAACATTTAATCAGCATCACTTTACTGAAAAGCTATGTGCCTTACTTTGTGCTCTGTGGTTGCAGGGAAAACAAAAAAGACAAGACAAAAAGCAAAGTGTCAGCATCTCCTGTCTTTGGAGAGTTTAACATGAAATTGAACAGGGAGTATTCCAACATTATACTTAAAATAAGGCAAATGAAAGTGTAATAAGGTATCAAATGTCCTTTTGTCAGGCTGCCTTTTTGTTCTTCATTTTGGGTACTGCTATCAAAAGTATCTTTCTGGAATGCAAATCCAAACCCATTACTCTTTTGCTTATAGTCCTTTCATTATTTTGCAAGTTTTGAAGAATTTATTTCACACATCTGGAGTAATATTAACTAATCTTTGTGATTTTGGTCGCCATCAACCTGTCTGGCTCACTTTCCATGCCCACATTTTTACAGCAAGCCTCAGTTCTAGAAAATTTCTTTCTAATCTATACGTGTGCTGCCTTCTTTTAGTGATCCCCATGTTGTATAATCATGCCCTCTATGCCCAGAATGTTTTCTCTTCTCTCTTGTGAATTCCTTTCTTCCTTTAGGAATAAGCTCAAAGATCACATGTTCCCTTACGCTTTTTCTTAAAATATATATATATATATATATATATATATATATATATATATAT